AACCATTTCGCTTGGCAAAGACCTTTAAGATCGAGTCCAACCATTAACCCAGCACTGCCAAGCCCACCACTAAACCAGGTCCCTAAGTGCCACATCTATACATCTTTTAAATACCTCCAGGGATGGTGACTCCACCACTTCCCTTGGTAGCCTGTTCCAGTGCTTGACAACCCTTTCAGTGAAGAAATCTTTTCCAACATCCTATTTAAACTTCCTCTGGTAAAGAGAAGGCAAATCCATTCAACTTTGCTCCTTGTGGGTTTGGGTTATGAAAATTGATATTGGCCAACACATGCCACTTGAGGTACCTGTTGGTGCTCAGTCTGTGCACAGAGGAAGGTGGTGTCTGTTCAACAAGGGCAGTCTCTGTTGCAAATGCAGTGTTTCAAGAGTGTGACATTTTTGGTGGTTTTCTTAGTAAGGGGGCAGCTCATCATCTCAGCAAATCCTAGCAGAAAGGAGCTCACATGAGTAATCCTATCTGCAAAGGGAGGGGCAGAACCACACTACGAAACAGAAGAGCGAGGGTTTTTCCCATAGAAATGCAGTTCCTGATTCCGATGTGCTGCAAAGGCTGCTCAGGCAATGGAAGGTGGCCTGTCATGGAGTGAGTGTTGCCAGCTGGTGCCTTGCTGCTGTTGCCCGAGTGCGTGTGCGTACCCCGCTCAAGCATATCCTGCTTGGCTCCCCTTAGCAACTCACCAATTTTACATGTCTAGTTCTAGCCAGAAAGTGGGTGGAAATGGAAACAAACATCAGTGGCATAGTGAATCCAGCCAAAATTAAATGCAGTACAGACACAGACTGCAATTGCATGACATTCATCTTTCAGTTTGGGTTTGCTCACCTCTCTTTTCTGTGGGAACACTGAAGTCAGGTTTCTCCTGCAGAAGCATCCTTGAGACATGGGGAATGGATTCATGTAAAACAGTTCAGCGATCTCTTCCCCCAAATAATTCTTGGCTTTGGATTTTAGATAGACCACAAACCCTTAGCTTATTACAAATAATCCTGATCACTCCCGTAATGATACACTACATTATATACTCTCCTAAATTTAATCATTCAATATCTCACTTCCTTCCCTGTAGGCATGTACTATTATATTTTACACATGGCTTCCAGCTGGTTTTCATTGTGGCCTTCAAATCATATTTCAGTGCAGTGCGATCTAAGACCAGTCACTTTATCATTTAAAGTCAACTTCCATCACAGTCATTTTCTTACAAGGTTTTTACCAGGACAGGTTAATTTGTTAGAAAAAAATGGGTTTGTGTGTGAGGTGAAAGTCTACCTGAATGAACCTTCATGAAGCAGCATCTTCCAAAGCTGCTCTGTTCTGAAATGCTGAGTTTGGCAGCCGCACCTGTAGAGTTTAAAAATCAAATCTGTTGAAGGGATGGAAAAAATAAGTCCTGTGGGCATGGAAGGAAATCTGTATCTTCACATTTGATTTGAAAGTAGATGGGGAAGGGAAGTCAGCTCCAGATGGTAGTGGATGTGGAGGAGGAGGAAGCTGCCCCACTTGTGGCTGGGGAGAGGTGGGGAAGGGCATGGGGGATTTCCTTTCCTGGGAAAAGGAAAGCTGAGCATGGCCATTGTTTTTGTCCCTTCTCTCAGAAGCCCAGCATATACATGGTGGTAGGTCAGACCACTGTTGGGGGTTTACCTGCACTGGAAAATGCACTGCACCCTGTACTTTGTCACAGAAGATCAGTGATGGTTCCTTCTTCAGAGCAGCACCAACCCAAACACCAAAGTGTTACGGCACGGTGTGCACAGCAGTGCGTGAAGCCAGTTGAAATTTTACCTGTGGGTTTAAGAGCTTAATAATGACCCAAGATCTGAAAATCTGGAACTGCCAAAAATGGTCCATTTCCTCAGTGAGGCTGTGACGTGCAGAACCAGACATGAAGTAAGCAAATCACCCAAATTGATCAGCATGCTTTACAAATGTAGTTTAAAACAAATATTTAACAAAAAGGTAATTTAGATTTCATATTGTACTGTGTGCCCCAGCAGTTGATCTGGTTTGCATAGAAAAGCATTCTCTTTTGTGTTAAATAGTCCATATTGTCAGAAGGAATTGCAAAACTGACCACAGCCTAAACCTGAAGGAAATTCTGTGCATTTATCCACCTCTCTGTATATGGGTAAACTTGTGTCACTGAAAAATGTAGCATGACTGAAATCCTTTGTTAATGCCACTGGCAATCCAGAGCAAAGCCCCCAGAAGCTAGCAGAATAATGAGATTTATCTGTTACAAGAACATCGAGCATCTTTAGGCTTTTTCATTACTTAGGATAACAGTAAGTGAAATAAAATCCAACCTTTTTCTAATATTTTGCACTGATAACCCCTGGGTTATGTGTTTTCTCTTCTGGAAAGGGTAGAGAGGTCACTCCAGAAAAGGAAGGGTTAATTGAAATAATTCTTTTCCTCCCGCTCTCAGCCCTCTCTTTGGTTGATTGCTTTATAGATGCTGTAGGCATCTCTTCATCTCCTTCAAATTAAACATTTTACTGCTGCTGATCCTGTATTGTTGGATTTTTTCATCATTATATTTGATTGGAAGTCTTGTAACATTTTTCAAGCTGGATTGTTTCTCATGCTATTTGTCAACTGAAAAGGGAAAAAAGCCCCCTTCCAAGTCCAACAAGAACGAACTGAGTAATTCTCACCCTTTCTGGATGTGATTCTATCTCTGTTACTGCTACTTGAATCCAGCTTCTGATTAGCAATGCTCCTTTGCAGCTTTTTGTGTGACGCTGTCTGTAAGTTCCCTGGCAGTTTATTTGTAGTGCTAAATCCTTTTGATTTTGGCTGCTCTGGGTCTTACAGTGTCAGGGGCCAGGGCCAGAAGGCACTACAGGGGAGATAAGTAGGTAGGGTCTGTGTGACAAATTTATGAGGCTGGGTCCTTGGCTAGTGTCAGCAATCCTGGCTGCGCAGCTTTCAGTGCTCCCTGCTGACGTAGGTATGGATCCCACCCTTGTCTGTAACCTCTCTATTTGGGAACATCAGTCCTTCTCTTTGAAAACAATCCATAGACAAAAAAGAAATCCTCAAAGAGCCAGCTGAGTGATTCCATGCATTGGAACATTATGCTCTTTTATTACAAGAGATGTAATAAAACATAAACCAGATTATCTGTCATTTCCATTTGAGTTTCTCCTTTCCCCCGCTCCTTGGTTAGCCCCATTTCTACGACACCCTGAGCATTTACATGCTTGGGAGGGAAATGTATGTATTGGCACTGAAACAGGTTTGCAGTGTTTCTGCCCACGAGCAGCTCTTGCCCACAGTGTGGCAAGCCCTGCCTGTCACCAGTGGGACACCTGCTCTTAGCTGCTCACTGAGGCACCAGTGAGGGACGTGGTGCTGTGTCCTGCCTCTGTGCTCGGTGGAGCTGCAGCCCCCCAGGGCTGGCCGAGTGCCACCAGGTGCAGCAGGGGAAGGGCAGTGCCCTGGCCAGGCTGTCACAGCCTCTCCTCCAGGCTCAGCTCCCTGGCCACATGTGCGGTGGGCAGTGGCTGGGGACTGCGAGCTGCTCTTCAGAAGCCATGCCCGGAGGTCGCTGATGTTACAAATTACTGTGGTACCAACGTTTGATGAAGGAAATTAATCAGGGGCTCTTTGCCATAGAGCCTTTTTATTTATTTGCATAACGGGCTGATATTCCACAGCGGACTTCCCTCTTGTAATAACTCGACTAGTGTAGCATTTTACTGGTGGCTCAGTACGTGTGTAAAATTCAGTGCAAGTTCTCAGCACGTTTCCATTGTTTATCCTTATTTTTTCCCTTTAGAGAGCTTTAATGTAGGGTTGATTTTCTGGATGGTACACTTTGCAGCAAAGACATTTTCTTCTTGGTTGAAGAGCCAGAATTCCCTCTTATTTGTGGAAGAAAATAGTTATCCATATTGATTTTGTTAGCTCTGAGTGTTGAGTTCTAATAATTATTTCCCCGCATCTGAAAAAACCTCTGGGCAAATCCAGCCCTCAATCCTGTAGGGGATTTTTTCCGTTAATCTCTCTTGTATAGATTTGGTTTTAAAGAAAGCATGTGGAACTCCTCTGTGTTTTGCACAATTCAGAGCAGGTATTTTTTTTCCTTGGAATAAGGGCTGCACAAGGACCTTTTTAGTCATTTTAAGTGGCTGTTAGGAAGATTAAGAGCTACATATGCTTTCTTTAAACTTGCCGAAAAGGAGATACTGCTGCTGAAAATCTGTTACAAGACTGCAAAGCCTGTTTGCCCAGAGGGTTTCTCAGAATGGAGGGCTATAATTATTTGAACTCAGAACTCCTCAACTGGTGAAATTGCTACAGATGTAATACAGAGAAATCTGTTCAGGAGACACATTAGAGCCACCTATGTGAAGCTACTATGCTGTCACTCTTCATAGATGGGAAATGTTAACAAATCTCTGCACTTCCATTATTTTTTTTTCCATAAGGCAGCTGTGATGGATTTTAATGCCAAATCATTATTCATGATAAAGTAGCACCTGACAATCCCATGTATGTCTAGGCCTTTGTGGTACTTGGCATTTTGAAGAAATGATGAGAGTTTCTAGCCTAAAAAGATAAGAGGAATCAAGGAGGGGGAGAAGAGGAACAAAACAGGAGAATGACTTGTCTGAGATGGGACAACTGGCCAGTCATCCTGACCATGAGACTGTAACACCTTTTGACTTAACATTTATTTTGGCTATTTTATATTTCTTTTTATTACTTGCATTTTGTATTTCTTATTTATTTTGTGGCTTTATATTTATTTGATATCTTTTGCCTTTTATATCAGTTTCTCCTTTCAGTCTATAGTTACTGGTGCAGCTGACTTCAAAGGTAGAAAGGTAGTGGAGAAAGGATATTAATTGTGCTTTTCCTCACCAAAACAAAATAGACCCTGTGTAAAGGCCTGTACAAGTGTCCTTATCTCGAGCACCAAGGGGGTCAGCATGTACGTGAAGTCTGTGTCTGTTTGATCTTATAGGTGCTGCACAGACAGCAGTCCCAGCCTGCAAAGGAGAATTCCCCACCTAGAGAAGAGGCTCCTCCTCCACCTGCCGAGGACAGTTGTGCCAAAAAGCCAAGATCCCGTACCAAGATCTCCTTGGAAGCTCTAGGTATCCTTCAAAGCTTTATTCATGACGTGGGTCTCTACCCTGATCAGGAAGCCATCCACACCCTCTCTGCTCAGCTGGATCTCCCCAAACACACCATCATCAAATTCTTCCAGAACCAACGTTACCACGTAAAGCACCACGGGAAGCTAAAAGAGCATTTGGGAACAGTGGTTGACGTGGCAGAGTACAAGGATGAGGAGCTGCTGACAGAGTCAGAGGAGAACGACAGTGAGGAAGGCTCTGAGGAAATGTACAAAGTAGAGCCCGAGGAGGAGAACCCCGACAAAAGCAAGGCGGCTCCAGCGGACATCGACCAGAGATAATGTGAGATAGGGGCGCAGAAAGCAATACATTGATCCAAGGATTTTCTGGTTTTATTTTTGATTTTTTTTTTCTCTTTTTACCTTCTGTTTGTTTGTTTCCGTTGCGCATGATCCATGTGCAAACCGAATGAATTCAGCATTGCCCGATCAGACATTGCCTTGACACAGACACTCGAGTGTTACACTTCCTACATTTGACTGAAGCAATTGTTGTAGTCACATAGGATTATGCCTTCATCAATCTTGCACTTATGAAAGGGACATCTAGCAAGTAAATGGGAAGAAAAAGTCCTATGAAATTAATGAAGGAAAATTTACAACTTTGTGTGTGTATATATATATTTACATAAAATATATATATATTAAAATTGCATGGGACGGAACTTTACAACCTAAAAGTATAGACTGTGAAATGAGTTCTTTAAAGATGAGACTTGTTTATGTATTAAAACCACTTCACAATGAGTTGCTTTGGCTTTTTGATAAACTGCCGCCTGCTCTCAGGGTGTGGTGACTATTTTTGAATTCCTATTTATTTTCTATGTTTATCCCTGATTTTTTTTTTCATTATTATATGGCTTCCTATCTGGCAACTTGATGGGTAATTTTTGAGGTATTTAAAGACGTAAATCAACACTGCCAAAAAAAGAAAAGAGGAAAAAAAGAGAGAAAATGGAAAAACAAATCAGGGCACCTTAAAAAGAAAACTAGTAAGTTAAAAGTACTTTGAACACAATGCACACTTAAAAGTATACAGCATGTTCCACTCTCCAGATAGTCCTTTCTGTAGTGAACAGATGAGTTTTCATGGGATTCAGAATAGCTGAAACTGAAATTCAGTGCATAGAAGACTTGTCCGTTAACAAAGTCTTTATAGAAAGAGAAAAGAGATAAATGTGTTGAGATTTGATGTATGGAATTCATACTATCAACCACATTTTACAATGGATTTTATTTACCTGTTCTCTGTTTCAGATCTTGAAATTTGTAAGCTTCCTTCTTGTCAATGCTTTTTGTTTATACTGAAGTGAAAAACACACACACACACGTTAAGTTACATTGCGACACAAAACGCCACAATCCCGAGAATCCTGTCCAGGTAAACTGCAGACAGACCGAGGGTTTACAGTGCTGACACCCTATTGCTGACACCCCATTCGCCCTCCTCGCCAGCCTCCCCCGTGTTTCTGTTTTAGCTGGGCTTCCTCTGCGTCACCTGTTTTGTGCCAGTGAAATGAAGTGTTTTCAGCCGCAGGTCCCACCTCCCCACGGCACGGGCACTTCCCAGCCTCCCGCCAGGCCCTGCACACCCCCCTGCCCACCTCCCGGGCGAAGGGTCCCGCAGTGACCCGGTAGCAGCCACGTTACATAAAGCAGAGCTAACACTGACTGACTCTCCAGTGGCGTGAGCACTAAAGCTGCAATCTACTATAGCATCCACCCGCTCTGAGGCATCATGTCGAAAGAGACACCAAGTAGCATTTACTTTTCACTTCTGTGCAATGATTTCCGAGACAGAGACCTCACCTTGCAGCTGGATTGATTTCAGACGCCTGTTCAAACTGCAGCCGTAACACTACAAACGAGGCTTCTGGCTTTTTTCTTCCTTTTTTTTTCACATGGGCTTTTCACGTAACCTTGACAAAGACCTCATGCAATATACCTTTGAAAGTTACTTTCTGTTTACTACACGGCAATGTAATATAACTGTTAATACTATTTATATATTTGAAAGGTATAAAAGGTAGGAGTTAAAAACGAAAAACAAACCTCTACATGTAGATATTTACTCAGAACAGACAATATACAGGGAGAAGACGTTGCAATACAAGCTAATTCTAGCTGCTCAGTAACCTCTGGAGTTTTTATGAGATTTTTTCAGAGCTAATGTTTGAAACATGAGTATCTCTGCATAAATTTCATATACCTTTGCAAATTATGGTGGGTTGCTTACTTAATGCCCCTTTTGCTCTTCATCCTTTAGTTCTGTAGTATGCTGCAGCTTTAATCAGAATTTCAGTGGTTGCTGCTTTATGTTTCTCTCAGAGCTACGCTTTCAAAACTGTCTTCTTATCCTGTAGCTGAAATCACTCCATACATTTGAAAGGAAACTGAATTTTGCCAAGCTAAGTAAGGTTGTTCATCTGATGATGGCATCAACATTTGGTATCTTTTACACTTCAACCAAAAATTTTATTAGGTATTTTTTCAATGCTGAGTCTTGCCTTTTTATTTTTAATTTCACTGCCAATTTTGCAGTGGTTCTAAGTGAATCTGTGGGCATTTTAGCCTGTGGTCTTGCCAGAACTTTGCGAATTACAATGCATATATGTCTATTTATTCAATATCCATCATATAATATCTATTTGGAGAAAGAAAATTTTCTTGTAGTGCCTCTTAACAAAGCACAATTTTCCGCCTTTTTTGTGAAATAAAAAATAAAAAAAACAAATTGTGTTTTATTGCGGTATCAACAATGTGAATAAGGATTAACATATTGTAAATGTTCTTTTTTCCATGTAAATCAACTTTATCTTCGTTATCACTAAGTGATAATTAATTTTTAACTTATGTGCATTGTTAGGCTGTTAGAATTTTTTGGTTGTTGAAATAAAACGCATTCAATAAATATGACTTAATTTGTCAAGTAATTTACTGGGCCTTTTTTCTTTTCTGCCGAGTTCAAGCGGAGCAAGATCTGCAAAATGGAGGGGGCCTATTTGCCTGGTGAAATAAGAGTTGACCGGTGTTACTGGGGTTTGAAAACCTGCTTAAGGCCCCTGGGGTCAGCACAGCTGACAAATCTGTACCCCTCAGGACTGATCTGTTGTGTTACTGGCTTTCTGTGTACATGTATGTGCACACATAGGGAGTCTCTGATGGGATCAGGAGGAGGGTGTGGGTGCCATCAGCCCTTAGGAGAATATACTCAAAACACACACACACAGATCCACTTCCAGTCTGCTGTCTTCTTTTGCTCGTAGATTTTTTTCTGTTTGTAATTAAAAAGCCACAAATGACTGCGTGTCAGGAAACTTTTGGAGCACACATGTCCATGGTTAATGGACATAATAAAAGGCTTTATTATATTTATAGCAGGGCATCCTACTGAGTGTGTAGAGGAATGCCGGAAGGATTGATGTATCTGAGAAATGTGTGAAATGTTTTTGGGGAGAATACAGATAAATGGAAAAAATTGCTCAAAATTCTTAAGCTAACAAAGTGGTAAGTGTCTGGATTCAATCCTAGCAGACAAATCATATACTGCACATCAGACTTGAGTTGTCTAGGAATTGAGGTAGAGCAATTTTTAAAAGCATTTATTATTTTTTCTATAGTTCCAATGCAATAGTTCCTCCCTTTTTTGTGGCTTATTTATATCCTATATAAAATATCTATGTGCTCTCTCGAGAAAAAAATAAGGAAGAGGGGGAATAACCACATCTTTGGGTACCCAGCCACCTGCTTGCCACTTGTATTTGATTTGAGACCACATAAAACCAAGCATCTTTCTGTCTGCTCAGGGCACCTGGAAGCTGTGCACAACAGCATTTAGTCGAGTGCTGTTTGCTGGGATCCCTATGCTCACCTCTGAGAGGGTCCTGGGCTGCCTGTGCCCCTTCCTTGGGGACAGTCAGCTGGCACGGGCACATCTGGTGCCTGGCTGTGGTGCTGCCTCTGCTCTGACCGGTGGGCACAGTCCTGATGCATGAGGCAGGCTGGTCAGCCTGGGGGTCCACTGGTCTTCATGGGCGTGGGAGGTGACAGAGGGCATGAACTGGCCTTCAAAACCACACCTGCACTCCAGCCAGATGCTGTGGAGGTGCTGATGGTGTTGGACTGGGTGTCCTTTCTGCCTGCCAGTAGGGCAAGAAACAAAAGGAGAAGCAGCTCTCAACTTCACTGGTAGAGAATTTTATACATGCACTCTGTGTGTGTGAAGCTAAATAAGATTTAAAAAAAGACACACACACACACATATTTTAATTGGGGGGTAAAAATCCTATAAACATATGGGTTCTTCTTCCAACCGTAAAAAAACCCCAACATTTAATAGCTGCTAAAGCAGAAATATTTCTATTAATGCTTCTACTTCTCTATACTTTACATGCTGCTGCTCCTATTTGTTGTTCATGTTTTAGTCATCCAGACATATGTATTTCCAATTTCAAACCTGTGTGAGTGAAAAATAAACATGTTAAGATTAGTTTAAAATGTTTTAAGATTATGAACATATTGACTATTGCCTCAAGTTCATTATTGCTTTGATAAAAGTATCCATCAATCTCTTCCCATTTACTTAGTAACCAATTATTTGTTTTAGACTAAAGGGATTAGAATCCTCATTGATGAAATTTTATTTCTATCCTGAACCCATTAAACATGGAGGGATAAAGGCTGGATACATTTGACAGTGAGCAAATGGCATCTTAAAATCATAAACGAGTAATTACAAAAAATCTCTACTTACAATATAAAGTGCAGTGATTAATTAAAGATGCACTTTTAACTTATTTATAGCCATTAAAAAAACATACTGGTTTTAACACAAAATAACACAAGCCAAGTCATCCAGGGGAGAGACACTGGCAGCCTGAGACTTGAGGAGCAGGCAATGTGACAAAGCCAACAGGGAACAGCAAATGCAGGCCTCCCTTGAAACCTTTGGAAAAGTTCACAGAAGCAAGGGTGGAAAGAGGTGGCTCTGGCATCCCTGCCAAGACCCCTTTCATTTTTGCTCGCACACAGACAGCTCAGGAGTGTGAAAGCCCCATCTCTCTGTGATGGCAGGAAACCTGTGGGCTCACTCCTTGGCTGTGGTGCAGGCAGTGGGGAGCTTTGCCAGCTGGGGAGCGTGCTGAGGGTGAGTCAGCCCTACCTCAGGCGAAAAGATGATAGTGGTGAGAGAGAGAGAGCAGCAGTTCAAGTGCAGATTTCTGCAGGTTTTCCCCTCCTTCCAAAATTTTTGGTTGTTGATGGCCAAATGCTGGTCTTGCTCGACTGGCAGGTGTGGTTCGCTATAGCCAGAGGGAATAAAGGTGGTCGGGGGCAAAGTGAGGCTCAACTGCTGAGTTGGTGACTTGTGGCTGCTGTTCCCCAGAAGGTTTGGCTGTGTGGAAGGCTGTCCTGCTGCTGAGCAGCTCAACCCTGCCAGGAGTCCCACACATACCTGGCACACTGTGCGCCATCCAGCCCTGCAACTGCTGGCTCTGTCTGCAAGGCAGCACTTGCTCAAGAAAACCATCCCTTCAGGATGTTTCAGGAGCTACAGCTGGTTCCTCCTAAGAGGAGTGGTGTAGTTTACCCTTTGGAAGGGATCTGGTCTTGATTTGAAGACCTCAGGAGCTGGAAAATCACTGTTGCCCTCAGTAGTTTGTTTGAATGGTGGTTTCTCTCCCTACTAAATCTGTTCCATATTCTAAGGGGAATTTGGCTTTCCCTTCCTGATTTTGTCTTTTCTTAGGCTTTTCTCATCTGAGTGAAAGTTCCAGGTAATTAAGGAAATTTTTTTTACTTAGAAGTAGCTGTTATGATCAAATGAATTTTCTTGAATTGAGGTCTTAGTGTTCAGCTGAGGCTGTTTCAAGGAAAAATCTACTTTGGCTATTGACAGAGTTCCCTCTTGTACTCCTTTTGAGAGTCCATCA